CCTTCCTTTGCTGCTTCCTCACCTCCAGTTTGGTCAACAACAGAAGGTTGGTTGGTACTGAGACAGAAGCGGGCACTGGTGAGAGTATCCATGTGCTGTGGCCCAGGTCCTTCAAGACCTGTCTCAGCCTGCCTATCTTCCCTCTCCACAATATCCACCCCCACAAACTATCATGTGAGACACTCCTCAATTGCAATCAGACCAACATGGAGGCTCCTATTCTGGAGCAAGTGCCAAGAGATGGAGAGCCTGAAACCCAGTGTGGAATTGTTGACATGGTGATAATAACAGTGATGATGATGTTCACAGTTTTAGTAATCATAGTGATGGAGATGGCAGTGGTGGTGGTGATTATAGATATGAAGGAGGATGTGATGGTGATAGTGGTGATGACGGTGGTAGTTCTGGTAGTAGTAATGATGGTGATGGCGGTGTTGTGGTAGTAGTGATAATGGTAATGGTGGTGAGGTATTTATGATGGTGGTGGTGGAGGTAATTATGGTGATGGTGGTGTTGGTGGTGGAGGTGGTGGTGATGGAGATGATGCTTGGTGATCGTGGCAATGTGGTGGTGATTACAGTCATGTTTATGGTGACAGCAGTGATGATAGAAATTGATTCTCTAAGACCCAGGGTTTTGTGGACAAGCAACTTCTTTGTACCCCAGAGCCACTGGGCCCTTCCCTGTTCTGGTGGGCTGGCCCTGGAGGCAAGAAGAGCACAGTTCTTACTGAACCTGACAAGGCAGTCAGTATATCTTGAGCTCACAGAGAACATTTAATCTTAGTTAAAAATAAATAAGTGCAATTATTGGAAAGGGAAAAATAGCCTAGTATTTACTGCAAGTGAATTAAAGGTAATTACTCTGGGAAAAGTCCTCTTTCAGAAGGCCAGGCACTGTCCCTCTTCCCTCTCCTATCAGGTTTACTCATGGCAGGTGGGGTCACTTTGCAAGGCCTGGTTGGAGGGAGCAGGACGGGATTACCCTGTCCAGAGCTTCCAGGGCGTACAGAGCCCACTCCTGGTCTCCACTTGACCCACTGGCTCCAGAATTCCTTAATAGCCACTCCTCAGTCTCTGGCAGGATGTTCCCAGGCCAACAGTTGCTCACGCTGTTGCTCACCTGCTCATGTGTCCTTGCCCTGCAGTGTGGCCCCAGATAAACCCTGTGCCAGAAATGGATGAAGGCTGTTTTCCATGGTCAGTGGATGGTTAAGAATTACTGCTGGTGGTCAGTGCCCCATGACACCATCTCTGTATGAAAGATGGGGACTTTTCTTCCCTCCCTAGGCCCCAACCCATCCCAAAGGGTTCTCCGTAGACACTTGCCCCACCAACCTGGTGGTGGGCCCCATGTCCCCATGGCCTTGTACTAAGTCAAAACCCTGAGTTTTAAAATCCTTCTGAGCAGGATGCTGGCCTTGCCTGCATCCTGCTGGCTGCAGGAACAAGAGTCAAGGAAATCTGAGACTAGGGGAGAGTGCATTCAGGGGAGGTAAAGCCAGTTCCAAAGTCAACTGCCCAGCTGAGCACAGGACCCCAGACCCTGCTACTGGATTAGCCAGTTCACTTCCCTGAGTCTGGCTGATAAAGGGCCCATGGGTCCCTGGGAGGTTCCAGGCAGTCCCACCTTTCAGCCCAGTTTCTCCTCCCAGCCTCCTCCTTGGTGTGGCCCAGTTAGGCTGGCCTCATCTTTACCTTGTGGGTGCCTTTCTTCCCCTCACCTGGCCCCTGGCCAGATGAGGCCACCGTCCCTAGAGCCAATCTGAAGGTCTGCTGAGATTAGGAGTCCTAGAGATGACACAGCCCCAACCCTCAGGCAGGCTCAGCCCTATGCCCCCAAATGGGCACCCACCCTGCTGTGGGGATGAGTGGGAAGGAGCTACCATTATAATTAGTGTGAAATGGGCCACATTTGCCAGGGAGGAAAATCCCATCTTGGAAATACACGTCAGATGTAAGTTCAATATCACCCGAGGGGCTATAAAACCCTTTTTCCAATCACCTGGTGATGTTGGCTGCCAGCACCATTAATCCTGGAGATGTTATTTAGAGCCAAGACATCACTTGGAGGGGGGAATCAGGTCCATTTTCCTAGAGGAGGTCCTATCTGTCCTCCACAGAGGTCTGGGGAGATGGACACACACAGTTCCATGCACTGGGTGGAAAAGGTGAAAGGACATACACCAATCTCTGGCAGTCATAAGACCAGAGAATCAAGTCTTACTTCATTACCTTCCACTCAAAATGCAGACCCTTACTTCTAAGCTGCAAGGCCCTGAAGATGAGTGCATTGGTAGGTGGGGAGACCGAGACCAAAGAAGCCTGGAAGGAACCAGGATACACCAGTCCCACTAGCCCTGCCTGCAGCAGACAGTCTTCAAAGCTCCTCATCCCCAAACTATCAGCCCAGCCCCCATCCTCCTCCCTTGAGATTGTTATCATCCTACAGCCTATCTTTAAAAATCGTTTCCTTGATTACCGACGGTAACAATGAAAACACGTAATTGAATCTCCAAGAAATTACCATTTTTATAACTTGCGCCCAGTTCCTGAGATAAATTAAACGTCTCCCTCGTACAAGCGAGCCTGCTCACGGCACATCAGTGAGGGATTGATACTGCCCTTTATCATCATTGCAGGGTCTTAGTAAGAAGAATGCCTCCAGCTGCCTCCCTGAAAGTACCTGGTGGCTCCACAGCACAGGTACTGAGTGGGCAGTGGTTGGTTGGAGAATCTGTAGCTAGCCATAGGGTGGGCTAGAGGGGTGGGTGGTGGAGTGGCTAGCTCCTTTGCGGGCTGGTTGAGTAAGGATGTGGGTGGTTGGTAGGAGGGCTGTCTTAGCCTGAGCCTCCTAAAAAAAACCCAGGTCTGAGGCCCTGGCAAGAAAGTTACAGCTTTCTGGGAAATGTGACCCAGGGAGCCAGAGAGAGGGAGAAAGTGGGAGAGATAGGCAGGATGAGGGATACAGGGGGAGCGTTTAGCCTGATGAGAAGGGAGAAGGATTTACCCACCTGCACCCTCCATCTTGTTAACCACAGGGAACCCACTGCCCACCTGGCTGCATTGGTATCCACAGGTACCCTGGCATCTCAGGTTCAGGAATCTAAGAGACTTTGAGGGTAGAAGAATTGGAGGCAAGACCAGGCACAGGACCAAGGAGCAACTGTGCTTGCTATGTGTCGATCATAGCCTGGACACCCATACCCAGCAGGGGAACTTCCAGGTGGAATGGGCAGCAGGTAACCAGTTGATTGAATTATTTATTAATTTATAAGTTGATGGGTTTGGTGGTAACAGTTTGTGGGTAAGTTCATGTCTCTCACTGGCCAAGGGACTATTTGGTGGTGGAGAAACTGAAGCCCCTCAAATGGAAGACTGAGTTTGCTGTGAGTGTTGGCCAGCTGTGCTCAGCAGAACCAACTTTAAACACAGAACCTAGCAGTGAGACTGTTTAAGAGAGAAAAAATAATAATAATAATAATCCCTAAGCGTAGCTGGGACTTACTGCCTATTGTATCAATGGAGGGAAGTGGGTGCTTTCACTGGAATGGAGGATCTGTTCCCTGTGAATGGAAGGAGGTGAGGCCCAAAAAGCAGCCTCCCACCTTGGATATATGGACAAACTTAGGGTCCAGGGCAATACTCTGGGGTCACCAGGAACCTGGAACACAGGCTGGGAAGGCTGACCTTCTTCTGGGGAGGCAGGTGGCCTTTGGGCAGCGCCCTCTAGTGGAGCCAGCTGAAGGAACTAGAGTAGAGAAGAAGACAGTCAAACACAGCACCAAAAAGGGGCTAGATGTCCCCACCCAGCAAGTGTGCATTCCTCTCTACTCTCTCTTGTTTACCTCCACTTTCCCTCACTCCCTTCATCCCCTTCCAAAAGTCAAGGGCTTGCCTAGAACCTCAGAGGTGGGGACCTGAGATCCTCATAATCAAATGGCAGAGCATGATGTCAGTTCACTTCCCAGCCCTGTGCTATGGACTGGGGCAGGGGAGGCCTGCAACAGTCCCTTATCAATGAAGAAATTTGTGGCTGAAGAAGACAGGCTGCTTGGAGTCAAGGCTGCACTCAGGCCTCATTGAGAGCTCAGGGTTAGAAAGTCCTATTCCCCAATCCACAAATTCTCAGCCACTCCCAGGCCCTGCCCACTCACCTCCACCCTCTAGTCATCCCAAACAGGCCTATTTCCCCCAGAACCTAGACAGCCAATGTGGGCACTGAGCTCCCAGCTCCCACTCCTGCCTTGCACCCTAGAGCCTCCCTCTCATCGAGAAGAGCCCAGACCTCTGGCCTGGCTCCAAGAGTCAGACATGTAAAGCTTCCCAGAAGCCTTGGTGGTCCAGGCCCAGATCAGGAAAGGGCATGGTGGGCTCTGGACTCCAGGGAACTTGTACTGAGACCCCTCCCCAAGGACCCTGACCCCAACATACAAATAAACACTTCAAGTGGCAACCTTGAAACCTTTATGATAAGAAAAAAACATGGTAGATATAGGTTAGGGCCAAGCACCATATGGTCACTCAGAACAATAGCCTTGTCCAGCCTTCCTAACAGGTCATCCCAGACCAAGTCTTAAGGCCTCATCTCTCTAGGTAAAGTGCTAGCCTCTACTACCTTGCCTCTAGGGCCCTCACATTCCTTGGCTCTCCCCAGTCTCCCAGGTGATCCTTACATGTAGTTTGTTTCTCAGAAACCCTGAGAGTAGCTGCATCTTGAACCTGCACTGACCTCCTAGAGAGTTTGGGATGCAAAGATTTGCCTTGGCCCTGGGCACAATTTTCTCTCCACTCAACCCTCAACCCCCCATAAAGAACTTGGGCCACTTTCTAGCCAAGGTCTCACAAACCCTGGGGCTAGTGATTCACATAAATTGTCCAGGGCTATAGTGAACTGGACAGACCCGCTCACCTGGTCCTAAGACCTAAGAGAAGGGAAACATGAAACCAGTTTAGGAGAGTCAAGGGCGGGCATAAACACTGCTAGGGTGAGCCTCAGAATATTTTGTTTCAGTTTTAATACTGGGGAGAAGGATTCCTTCAACTAGCAAGAGAAGTTGTGACAACCAGGACAGACCCTCTTGTAGCCACTCACAGAAACCACAGATCCAAGTGGAGAGGACCTAGCATTGGCCCTGACTTGCCAGAATCTTCAGCCTCAATGAACTTCCCCTTCTCCCCTAGGTCCCCCTGTCAGAGAACTGCCCTTCCAGCCCTGGGCATTGGGTTCCAGAAACCTAATTTGGTCTGTAGGGTCTCGGCTCCATCTGGTGGTAGATGTGAGAACTGAACTTCACTCCTGCCAGCACCTTCAGCCTGGAAAAGGATAGGCAGTGATGAAAGGCCACTTGAGGTGGGCCCCACAGTATCAACTGAATGGGATGGTTCTGTTTTCAGGGTACAAAAACAGGTTTCATGAGGTCACAGTCTGGCACTATTTCCTGAGCTGACAAACAGTCCAGTACCCAGCAGGAGCTGGGCAAAGCAAAGGGGAAAGCAGGGTGAACAGTAATCCCAGTTTTTGACCCCAGTAAGGTAAACCTGACTCTGACCATCAGGCCCTCCAGCCACTCTGGCTTCTCAGGCACTAACATCCAGCTGTTAAGGGGACCGAGAAGGGGGACTGAGCCTATCTGGGTGAGGTCCTATGGAGGGGTGTCCTCGGGCTCAGGAGTGGATACATACCCACATCCAACACACCCATTGTGACCCTGGAGCACAAGGGCCCTGGAAGTCCCAGCATACTAACTCTCCAGGCCTTGGAGCCCTCAACATCTTAGACTGGCTATGATTTATTGAGGCTGTGTTGTCCACAAGAGGATTTTCTTTGACATTCTTATAATCTTTTCAATTCTTAAATAAAAAATATGAGCAGCAGGTATCCAGAGAGTCATCTGGAAGAGAAGACAAATGGTCTGCCACGGCCAATACCTTAGGAGCTATGTGGCCATGCCAGGGACAGGGCAGCGTTGAAGCATGACTTCATGCATATATCCTCCACCAAGGGCTCTCTTTTGCTCTGTCCCTAGATGCTGGGGAGTGCAGGAGAGGCCACCCAGCACTCAGTGGCACATGTCCTCTTACCAGAAATGGAGGTCCAGCATTCCCTGTCTTCTGGACCTGGAATAGGGTGGTCACTCCTCAGGCCACCCCCATTCCTCACCCAGCCTTCAGTGGATTTGTTTTCCTGGCTATGAGTCTAGGAGTGCCTGAGGGGCCAAACCATCCTCAAAAGTTCCATGAGCCCTGGCCAAGTGTCACTCTGCACCTCTTAGATGCTCAGAAAAAAAAGGAAACTTGCTCTCAGAACACATCCAGATCCTGGGAAGGTGGTGAAGGGGCTAGGAAATGACCCGAAGCTCCAGGTGAAGGGAGGCAATGACTATAGTAGGGTTGCTACAGGGAAGTTGATAGGGACTAAGAGACAGTTCTCCAGAGTCTGCTGACATACCTGATCTTCCATGCAGGGCAGTTTCAAGGTCTAAGTGGGAGAGGCTCCCCTGATGGGCAGGCTAGGAAGATCTGAGTAAGGAAACCAAATTAAGGAGAATAAGATGGGGAGCCCCTCCAGGGGCTGTGGCTGGTCCATCAACTCAGGGCCTGTTTTCCAGCTTTTGAAGTGAACTCAGGACACTGAATGTCAAGGCCACATTGAGAAGGGCAAGAGTGTCCCATCCAGCCCCTGCCCTTGCCCCCAGATTGGCTCTAGGCAGAAAGAACCGGGTCTCCATGCCAGTGGCCACTTCTGCCTTCTCTTCTGTCTCTTCAGAATACCTTGGGCACCAGCATGGAGGGGCAGGGGCAACTGAGGAGGCCCCTTCTCACTGCTCCAGGCTCTCCAAGGCCATCTGGGCGTCATGACAACATGGGCAGGAAGCTGCTGCCATGGTAACTAGCGTCCAGGGAGGCGCGCTGCCTAGCAACGTGGGCCACGGTTCCCCACCCTCCAAAAAACTATGTTTCAGCTGGCCACACTTTCCACACACAAGGCTGGGAATTCCAGCATCTAGACAGTACTCCAACCTGAGGCAGACTCACCCTCTTCCTGCATGAACATCCTAGAGCCCTCACTGGATGTAGACACCTTATTCCCTCCCGAATCCAGGACACCTAATTACATGGCACTGGGCATACGTTAGCATATCTTGCCCTGTGAGTGGGAAGCCCACTATGGCTGCAGATCCAGTGCTCCTTTCTCCCTCTTAGAGTCCCCATACACACTCATGATGTTCTGGATCTCAGGGAAGAGATATCTTCAGGTCTGACTTTCTTTGGTACCAGACTTCTAAACCAGGCACAGCACAAAGAAAGGTAGGGTGATCAGGGAGTGTGGAGCTGGGGTCGTAAGTGGCAGGAGGACATAAGTGCTTCTAGGGTATCCAAGATACTTCCTCACAGTCACTAGAAGATTGCAGCCTAGCAAGGTGCAACCTGAGGATCTCACTCAGCAGTTCACTCTTGTGCCACCATGTCATTGTCATTATTACAGGAGTCATTGAACATCCTGAATATCTACTGGGCACCTAGCAGCCTAAGGAACACAGCACACTGTCCCCCATGCCAGCTTCTAAGGGCCTTTACCGATGCTGTGCTCCCATTTCCCACCCATGGCCCATCTCACCTCAAAGGCCCTCCAAGAGCCCTTTTGTGGTCCCCATCTCTGAGTTGAGCACTACCCAAGACCCATGAAATCCCAAAGGGGAATGAACAGGCCGGTGTCAGGAGAGGGCCTTGGAAGCTTCTACCTCCCTCTTGGATGCTGAGCAAACAGCAGCCCAGGAAGCTAAGGAGAAACTCAGGAAGCCACTGATTCAGGTTCCTGACCCTTCCTATCACATTGGTCAGAGCCCATTGCTACAGGATGCACAGATGTTGCCCTGTCCCTGGAAATGCATTTTAGCCTCCTGCACCAGAGGCATATGTATCCACTTGGGTCCACTATAAGCCACCATTGCAGTCTTTGTGCATCATCTCCTCTGTCAGTGAGACCCTCAGTGCCTCTGGCTATATATCTTCCCTATGTGGAGAAGAGAACAGGAAAGAGGCCATATAGAAACGAAGGATTTCAACAAACGTTTGCAGAAGGAAGTAGGGACTGACAGGGGAACAGCATGTGTGGAAACCAGAAAAGGGTAGAAAATTAGGTTGTTTGGGGCTGGCTTGTGCACTGTAGTACTCCTTTAATAATTACAGTAGAACCTCAGGTGTCAACGAGAGCTACCCAGGCAAACCTCCAAATTTATTCTCCGCTTCAGACCTCAGAGCTGAAGCAGGAAGACATGAGCTGGTGCAGGAGGCCTTCCTCCCAGGAGCTCAACTACTCCCCCCACCCCGTAGCTTCCTACAGTTAATGGGGAGAGGAAAGTACCTGCTGGCTCTTTCCAGCCTTCCTTATAAACAGGGACAATAAAAGAAAGAAAAGTCAGATAATGGAGGACAGCATCTAATGGGAAGTCCGAAGACCAAACACAAAGGGGCAAAGGGAGAAGAACCAAAAAGTGAAGACAGAAAACAGTTGGCAAAAGATGCTCCTTCCCCTCAAAATCCAGTGAATCCCTAAAAGAGACTAGGATGTTCTGAGAAAAGAATAGGAGGCATCCAAGGTACAATAGAGACAACCACAGTTTAAAATATGACTGCTGAAATTCAAAGAACGTTTTTTTAAACCATAGATACACAGTTGTGGACTGCATAACAGCATTTTGGTCAACAACAGACCACATTTAGGATGGTGGGTCTCATAAGATTGTAAGGGAGAGAGCTGGGGTTATAGTGATAGAGTGCTTGCCTCGTATTTGCAAGGTCCTGGGTTTGATCCCCAGCACTGGGGGGGGGAGATTATAATAGAGATCTGAAATTTCCCTATCAACTAATAATGTTGTAGCCCTCATGACATCATAGCACATCATCACATGTTTGAGGTGATACTGGTGTAAACAAACCTACTGCACTTTCAGTTGTATAAAAGTCCAGCACATATCATGAGGTACAATGCAGAATACTGGATGAGATAATAAATAACTATGTTATTGGTTTATAAATTTACTATACTACACTTTTGTTGTTATTTTATTTTATTTATTTATTTTTTATTTATTTTTTAGTTGTAGTTGGACACAATACCTTTATTTCATTTATTTATTTTTATGTGGTGCTAAGGATTGAACCCAGGGTCCTGTACATGCAAGGTGAGTGCTCTACTGCTGAGCCACAACTCTAGCCCATATTGTTATTTTATAGTGTACTCCTTCTACTTGTAAAAAAAAAAGTTTATTGTAAAATAACACACTCTTGTTATGCCAGTAGCAGCCCTCAAACATCTCATGTTTATTGTGCCTCTTGTTTGCATCATTTTCTCTTGTGCTTGATTTAATCTCATGTTGTTTTCTTCATTATGGCCCTAGGAGCAGAAAGCTGTGTCATACATTAGGTACTATATAGCTTTGGCATAGGAGGCTATTCTATCTAGGTTTGTGTAAGTTCACTTTATGATATTTGACAACCAAATTGCCTAATGATAACTTTCTCAGAATACATTTTTATCACTAAGTGATCCTAACTGTATATAAAGAGAGTATTAAGACTCAAGGAAATCTACAAATAACAAAGACAAATTTTAAAAAGTAAATAAAACATAAAATCAATAAAAAGGCCCAATATCTAACTATTGGGAGCTTTTTTTTTAAGGACAGGAAAAGCAGAAAAGATTTTATTAATAAAATACTAAGTCTCAAGATGGAACATGCCAGGCTGGGAATGTAGCTCATTGGTAGAGTGTTTGCCTAGCATGCATAAAGACCTGAGCTCTAGCTCCAGCACTGCAAAAACTAAAGAATAAAAATATGGCATGTGCCTACCAAGTGCCCAGTGCCATGAACAATAAGATACTCTCAATAAGCATGAAATCCTAGGGTCTCAGAGGTCAGAGAAGGCTCCAGAGATTCCTTAGCAGCACTAAGGACCTTACTTTCTGTCCTTGAGCTCCCAGGGTGGAGGTGGCAGTGGATGCCTTAGGATCTAATTCTCTCCCCAGACTAATATCCAGCAAGCAAGAAGCCAGATTAAGAGGCTTATAGACCTCTGAGGTACCTCATGATTATCTGTTCTCATATGATAGACTACTCCAAAACTTAGAAATGAAAACACTCATGATTTAACCTGATTTAAGCAGGTTCTTTGGGGTTTTTAGTGGGCTATGTCACCCTCCTTCCAGGATCTGGACCTGGCTGGGATACATTGCAGAGTGGCCAGGATCCTGGGGGAAGCGATATCAGTGGCCATTTCTACCAACTTGGTTTCATCCAGGACTCAGGATTTTTCTGAACCAGCTTCCTGGGGATGTTCACTGAGGAACTTCCACAGAATGAAGGAGGAAAACAAAGAAGAGAAGGACATGGGTCATAGGAACTCAGGGGCAGTGAGGGCAGTGCTGTGGTGGGAGGGGCCCCCAGGGCCTGGCTCCAGCCCCAGCTCTCCCATTATGACCTCCCTGGCTGTACCTAGGCCTTTGTGACTGTCACCCAGGCAAACCTGTGAGCCAGAGTGACACCCAAAGTACCCTCAGTAAGAGGGTGGCAGGTCAGCCAGGCCAGAGCCTGGACCTGGGGTCAGGAAGGGGTCACAGGGAGGGATGGAGGGGCCAAAAACTCTGGGACCATGTGGCCACTCCCACTCCCAGTGTCCCCCAGCCCCAGCCTCGGGCAGCCACGGAGGATGCTTGGATCAGCCCTGCCAGGGATTTGTAAGGTGGCCCTGTCTGGTTCCCATCCCCTCCACTCACTCACTGGAGTCTGTGAGGACTTTTCCAGCCCCGGGGTCAGGGGGCAGGGAGCCCAGGGTGGGGGGTGAGGCAACCAGGGTCTTTCTTTCAAGTGAAGAAGGAGAGATGCAGTGGCAGAGAATGAGAGAGCCAGTAGGGCCAAGACAAAGAGAAATGGAGGCAGAACTGGGGTGGGGCTGGCCCCTGCACCAAGGGCAAGAGCAGGGGCCATTCAGGCAGGGGGGATCCCCCTGTACGGGGCCTAGACCCTGCCCATGTCCAAGCCTTCCATTGGGAAGAGGGGTCCCAGCCTCACCCAGAGTAGCCCCCTCTCAGCTCCAGAGCGGGCCGCTGGGGTCTGCAGAACAATCCTTTCTCCAGCTGGAGCAGGAGAACCACAGCCTGGTAAGTACAAAGCTACCAGCTGGATGGGCTCCAGGCTGATCCTAGCTGCCCAGGCCTTTACCTCACCTCAAAGTTCCAGACCCTGCCTCAGTTTCCCACCTGAAAAGCAGTCATGATAGATGACCCCATCTCTCTGTCTCCCAACTCCAGAAAAGGCAGAACCAGGACCTTCGGGAGCAGCTGGGGGTCCTCCTGGGTCCAGGACAGCAGTTCCTGCCCCTGTGTCCAGAGCACTCAAGTTGCACAGCCTTGGCCTGGGTGAGAACAAGTGTGCAGCCCTGTGACCCTGCACAGCAGCATCCCCCCCAGCTGCCCAGGGCTGCAGATATTGCCCACAGCCTTGGGCTGATCTAGAGGCTCTCCCGTAGTCCCCTGAATCAGCCAGCACCCGGCCCCTGGAGGACAGGACACCTGTTCAGCTGCTACGGCGGGAGCTGTGCCAGGGGGAGGAGGCCTTCGTTCGGCAGTCTCAGGTGGGCTTGGCAGTAGGGACCTGGGCCCAGAGAGGGGGTTCCCGTGCCCATACTGTCTCTCCTCATCCAGAACGAGCTACAACAAATACGACTGTCCTTTGAGAGGAAGAAGATGGCCATCACCGAGGTGCTCACCCAGACCAGAGTGGGAGAGGGTATGAGGGGATCCCCACTGGTAGATCCTGTTCCTTGAACATAATACAGACTTTTCTGCTCCCAGGTATGGGACGGTGTGGCCGAGGTACACATGGCTCTGAACAACCAGGCCACTGGGCTCCTGGTAAGTCCCCAGGAGGATAAGGAGGGCAGGGCAGGAGTTAGGTGGTGGTGAGAGGCAGGGGAGGGCAGCAGGTAGTCAGGGTGGAAGATCTGTCTTACCTCTTCTGTCCCCCAGAACCTCAAGAAGGACATCCGGGGCGTGCTAGAGCAGATGGAGGACATTCAGCTGGAGATTCTGGGGTGACGTAGGGGACCAGGGCCTGACTGAACCAGGTCGGGATGGGGTGGATCAATGTTTGATCCCCCAGTTCCACAGTATGGGGTGGCACAAGTATGGGGTGAAGGGCACATGGTCCTGACAGTGCGGCCCCCCAGGGAGCGGGCCCAGTGCCGCACCCAGGCCAGGAAGGAGCAACAGATGGAGTGCACAGAGGTGAGCTCCCCACCCCAGGCCACTCTTCCAGTTTGGAGACCTGGCCCAGGGGTACTTCTTGGGGGGGAGGTGGAGAAATGGGATCTTGACAGCAGGCCCCAAGGTGGGATCCTCCTGAGGAACCAGGTGACCAGAGTCATCCTGGAAAGTAGTTGCAGAAGGTGGCCCCTGCGGGAGGGATGGGGCAGGGGCACAACTGGGTTGACTGTATTGAAATCCCTGTCTATTGTGGGTCCTCCAGAGTTAGGGACCCCCACCCTCTGCCATAGCTCTCAAGGCAGGCTCTGACCCAGCCCCCTCCCCAACAGAAAGGGAGGCCACAGCTGGAATGTTCCGAGGGCCTCAAGGGCCAGCTCTGGTAGGTCACTTTGCAGGCAGAGCCCAGTCCCCCTGGGAATGTCCCTGTGGGCACCCCCTGCCCCTGACCACCACCGCCCGCAGGCTGCTGGCCCTGAGGCTGCTACTGGGCGCCCTGCTGGCCTGCACCGCTGCCTACGTGTACGTGGTGGACCCCGCACCCTTCGAGGGGCTAGTGCCGCCCCTGATGAGCCGAGCCGCCGTCTGGAAGCTCCGGGCCCTACTGGGCCCCTTCCTGCGCCTCGAGGTGGACGACTTCCTGCCCTTCTAGGCCGGAGGCCCAGCGGCCCCAGCGAGGAGGAGGCCAGGCGGCCACCGGCGCTGCCCTGGGTGCCCACTGGCCCCGTCAGCCCCTGGCCACAGCACTGCTGCACACCGTCCCTGCCAGGAGCTGCGGAGAAGGGTGGAGGCAGGGTCTGTCCTGAGGGCTGGGCCTGCGGCTGGACATATAGTCGTGACATGCTTGGTGTGTGAGCTTGTTTCCATGGAAACAGTGTGGAAGGGGCATTTTGGTGCTTCCTAAAGCAACCTATCCCAAGGAGCCCTGTCAATCTGGCAGTGGTGGGGAGGGGTCCTTCAGGGCAGGATCCCTGCCTCAACCGCAAGCATCAGTGTTGACTCCCATGTCCCATATTGCTGCCCTCCACCCCAACAATGATGGTTTCCCCTGAAAGGTATCTGCACAGTGAGAACCAGGGGTCCATGGTTCAAGCCCTCCCAGGTACCTCAGAGGTCATGCTTGAATCCCTGAGTCTGCTGACTCAACTGACCTCGTAGTGTTCCCATTACCCACCATTCCCCTACCACCCCACTCCACTCTTCAACCCAGTCCAGCTTCCTGGCACTGCCCAAGGCTCAGACAGGGGAACCACATTGGTGGACAGAGCCATGGAGGTAAACACCAAAAATTTTATTGGGGGAATTTAAATGGAGGAAGTATCCCTTAGAACAATAGAGAATAGCTTTGTGGCTTTCTTGTCCCAAAATGGGAGAATAGAGCCAGTGCCCAGGGTGGATCCTGGGACAAGGACCCTGCACAGGAGGGTCATCCTGCTCTGCCTCTGGAGGACAACCAGGTCCAGCAGGCTCAGAGATTGCAGGACTGTGGACCATGGATCACTCATCCCTGGATGCAGACAGACCAGGTGGAGCCAGAGCAGAGATACTGATGGAAATCCGGTGGGCAGGCAAGGGGCCCAGCTGGATGGGCTGGGATCCCAGGGCTCACCAGGCTGGTGGCTCTAGGAAATTAAGGCATCTGTTTATGTTCTGGAGAGGCAGGGTAGAGGGACTATAGTAACTGGCAGGGGAAACCTGAGACCCCCTCCCCAGCCCAACCCACAGAGGCCCAGGCTCCCCAGGAGGAAGTGGCTTAGTCTAAAGTGCTTGGTAGGATAGGGAGGCTGGGGTGAATGTCATGCTGGTCACAGCAACTCCAGGGCCACCCTCAATGGGGTACTGGACCCCCTGCAGCAGGTGGAGGACTTCCTGAGGTCACCTGGACACAGGGTCACAGGCCCTGGTAGTCTTGAGTCAGTCAAGATGTAGCTGGTAGAGACAGGACCCACAGTCCATACCCAGCCCCACCCCAGGGTCCATGGCAGCCTGGCTTCCTGCTTCTCCAGTTGGGCTGTCCAGGGCCCCAGAGCTGCCCACTTGCATCCCACTAGGGTCCCGAGAGGCTGGGGAAAAGGCTGGAGGCTGCCGAGTGTAGGCGGCACATGGTCCCACGAGGGGGTGCCCCAGCAGCCTGGCTCCAGGGGGCCCGCAGTGGAGGGCGGTCCTCAGGGAGGCCAAGATGGCACAGGTGCAGGCCAGGGGTCCCCCTGGGCTGGCCACGCTGCCCCCATCCACGGCTACAGGTGCCTATTCGCCCCCTGTGGGCCACGGCATCCGTGAGAGAGAAGCAGAAAGGGTGGAGGTCAGCTTAGGGGTCCAAGGCTCAGGGAACCTCCCTTTGGGTCCCTGAGCCTCCCCAGTGCTCCTACACTGGGTCTGCCCCAGTCCTGAAAAGTTGTTGATTCCTGGAACTCCCCAATCCCATCTCTAGCATATGGCAGACAAAAGTGACTGCCTTGAAGTTCAACCTTTATCCAAGCCAGCAAGTGGCCCCACTGTGCACCCCATTCCAACTCCCTCAAGCCCTAGGATCGATCCTCCAGGACAGATGCCAGTTCTCACCTGACTCGGCTTCATCAGCAGAAATGCACACAAAGAATGTGCTACCTGAGCCAATCGCTACCCCCTGGGGCCCCTGCACCCACAGCCCTGACCTTGCCCAAGTAAAAGATCAAAATGACTCTTAAGTTCTTTTTTTAATAAAATTATAGATATATAGATGTAGATATAAAAACATAAAACAGACACAACGCAAGCTGACGCTGCCATGTGCTTACTCTCAGGTCCCTGACACCAGGGGAAGAACTGGTCCCCCCTTCCCCAATGTGCTTTCCAATGGGACCGGCCGGGTTAGAGCCAAGGACTGCGTATGATTTAGGGTGGGGATTCTCCAGTTTGGCAGGGAGAAGGGTGATCCAGGTCTCACTGGCCTCCTGGGGTTGTGTGTAACCCCTGTGCCTGATCCCATTATTTTCTCTGCCCCCCCCCACCCCCGTCGCCTCCCACAAGAGCATAAAGCAGAAGTTAAGGCTTCAATGAAAGGGACAGCGGCGGCCGAGCACTAACACATCAGACGTGGCACGGCGGCACAGCACACAGACACAGGGACACAAGCCCACTGGCCAGGCAAGACAAAATGCACAGAGCTAGGGCCCGTGCCACAGCTGGCTGGCTGTCCATCTGTCCATCCATCCGTCAAAACCCAGAGTAGACCAGGACTGCAGAAGCATCGGCCTTGCCAAGCTACAAGCTGCCAGCTGGGTTAGTGAAAGGCAACATGTTAGGAGCAGCTGGGAGGGCAGGGCCCCAGGCACCCTCTGAAAGAGGAGGAGGTAAACCCATGGGATTGTTGGAGACTAGCCAGGGAGCATGACAGAGTGATGTTGTTGAGCTTGGCCAAGGGAGGAGGCAGCCTGGGTCCCCCTCAGTGCCCCATCAAGAACAGAAACACAGGGCCTGCAGCCTGGCACAAACTGCTCAAGATCCTGTCTTCCCCATGAGCAGATGAGTGGATGGACAGGCAGAGGGTGCAGGGACAAGCTTGTGGAGGCGTGGCTCTCTCCTGCTGATCCACACCAGGCTTGGGCGGCCTCCTTTCTCTGGGGTAGAGAAGTCGGTGGGGATGGGGAGAGCCACTATGGGGTCCTGGTCCCCATGGCACCACAGCAGACGGGTGGCGGTCAGTTCTCAAACCGAGATCTCGTAGGTAGTCCCACCCACGCCGGAAACCTTCTTAACCAGCGTGTGCCGGGCAGGGCTGGCGGAGGGTCCCAGAGGACCTGCAGCAGGCCCCAGTCGGGTCAAGCCTGGGGACTGCCCGTTAAGCTTACTTGGGGGGGTCTTCAGCTGAGGGTGGTCTCTGCATTAAAACAAGCACACACACACATACATACACACACAGTGAACACAGGATGGTGGGGTGACAGGACACGCAGACATGGACTGGAGCCCTCTGTCCTGGCCCCTTCCTCAAAGAGGGTTTGTGCCATCACAGGAAGGACAAACAGATGTCAGAACTGCTATCATCCTCCTGATTGCCTCAACACCTCCCAGCTGGCAATGACCAGGGAACAGGGCAGGCAGGTGGACATCAAACTGGAGTTCTAGGTCCTGCCCATGTTATGGTGCCCTGAGCTGGGAAAGCTACCACCGGGTCAGAAAAATGAAGGGCTGTTCTCCTGCCACCTGGCCTGGCCAGTGCTGACCATGGTGTTTCTGACTTCACTACTTAAACATTCCTAAAGGCAGGAATGTTTAAGTAGTGAAGGCCAGGTCAGGGCAAGACCACTGGTGACTGGGCTCCCAGCTCCTTTGTGGCCAAGTGGCCTGGATAAAAAATTCTCCCCTTGGGGGCCTCATCTGCCAATCTGAAACAACTGAGCCTGAGCTCTCAGGACCTGGACACAGCAGTTCTGTGACCTACCCAACATGAGAACTGGACCCAAACAAGGCTCAGCTCTCCTACTTGGACCTGGCTCTATGAGGTAGAACCAATTACCAACCCACCAGAAGCCTATAGCCAGTCTTTCTATAAACAGAGAAGCATCTGTTCCAGGGACTATGTGCCCGAGGTGGCACATTTCACTATAAGGAGATGTCCCAGAGGCAGAGACTGGGGGACATCTCCTTATAGTGAAATGGAGACAGGCCCAGGGAGAGTGCCAAACAGACTGAGGAAGGTCAGAGCCCATGGCCCAAAGGAAACCCATGCAGCCACATGGTACTAGTTCCAGAAAAAAAAAGGTACCAGTGCCCAATTGCCCTTCCACATTTTGAGCCTGCATCAGCTCTGGGAGAATGTGACATGTTGATCTCAGGGTACAAATCTTCCTGCTCCTACATATGAAGCATGCCCAGGGCATCCTCAGAACCGAGCCACTCTCACATGGATAACTGAGAAGTCTTCAAGGCAGGATGAGGCCCACCCTCCTTGTCCCATCCCAGCAGGCAACCAAAGGGCTCCAGGACAACCCTTGAGTACTGGGCCAAGAGGAGCCCTGCAGGTGGTTGGATGGCTGCCCTGCACTGGGAAACCCACCCACACCTCTGGACACCCACCTCTGCACAGCCAGCGAGGGTGGCCGTTCCGGGAGGTCCGTATGGATGAAGGCGACAGCTTTGGGGCCCATGTAGGAGGGCGAGCAGGGAGTGCCAGGCGGGGAGGGTAGACCCTGACGCACAGGCGACCTGTGTGAGCCACTTCCAGGCCGGGGCCCAGGGGCGTTGTTGTTGGCCTGGTCGGCCTGCAGGGAGGAGGAGGATGTCCGTGGTGCCCGGCTCACAGAGCTTGATAGTGAAGACAGTGATGTCTGCAAGGCAGGGTTGCGGGCACCACCAAAGCCAGGCCCAGCCACAAGGTCATCTCTGGAGCCATAGCGCAACACAGAGCCACGAGGACCCTCAGACAGCACACTGGCCTGCTGCAGGCTGTAAGAGCTGGGTGTGTCATAGACTCCAGAGTCACCAAAGAGTGAGTCGGCCTGGGAGCGCAGCAGCCGCTCACGCTCCTCCCTGTCCTTGCGCTCCTGGATGGAGGCCATGATGGTCCTCGACAAGTTGTCATAGCGTACTGGTGAGGGCTCCCGAGGCCGGGGACCCAGCACGGGACTAAAGCTGCGGGGTGGGGGCCGTGGTGGGTCACCTGCTGCCCCAGGGTGTAGATAGGGTGAGCGGTAGCCAGCTACACCAACAGAGGGGTGTGCTGGGCATGTGTGGCCACTAGGTGAGCCAGGGTTAAGCAGGCTATCATAGGACAGGCTGCCATTTCGGTTGGGTAATGCATGGGGAGCAAAGATGCTCCGGTGGGGTGTGGGAGGACCACCCTCAGAACGCAGGGGCTGCAGAGCTACATGGTCCCCACCCCGCCGGCTGGCAGCCTTGAGGCTCAGAGAGCGCAAAGCGCCTGAGAAGGCATCAGTGGCACTGAGTGGTGGGGACGGTGGGTAGGTTGAGTGCAGGCCACTGGGCCCATGGTCTGGGAGGTCCAGGCTGGGCTCAGACACAAAGTCCAGGCTGTGGGTGCTGTCATCCCCTATAGTCAGGGAGTCAGGGCCTTGAACCTATGGAGAAAGAGAGCACTCTCACCCCTACCCAATCACACCCCCAGCCTGTAGCCACCAGGTACTCTGTGCCCATGTAATGTAGACTGTAATGCTGGTGACATAGGCCATGGCAGATGCCACCAACACATAGTAGAAGATGCTCCCTATTTTCTGACTATGCCCACCTCTCTCATGCCAACCATGGAAGGAATTTGGAACAGAATGGAGGCAGGACAGAGGCCTCAGAGGGAAGACTGTGTGGGGCCTGCCACTGCCCACCAGCCCCAGGTGAGAAAGGGCTGCATGGGCAACACCCAGGTTAACACTGACTCTAGGCAGCAAAGAAGCAGGAACTCCACTACTCTAGGCCAGAGTAGTGCCCTCAGAGTCTACCCAGCAAGGGAGTCCACCTTCTCAGGGCAGCCATGGCCACAGAAAAGAGGGGTCTCTTTCAGTCTCTGTGGGACAGCTGACTTAGGCTGAAGAGTAGCCCAAGGAACCTCAAATCCTAAAGGTGGTGAGGGTGAAATATGGCCTTGGTGCACTTAGCCAACTAAACTGAACCTTCAATAGGCTAAAGGATCCAGGTCAGTCCTGGGAAAGAAGTAAAGCAGGGAATGAACCTAGAATACCCCCATTAGCAACCAGGGCTGACCATCTTCCAGGTGGACAGGGTCACTGCATACCCACCAGAAATGGACCCTCATCTAGGAAAGCCCAGACTCACTGCCCCAGCTATCAATCCCTAAAATGGAGGTGGAACAGGATGTGAATCCTAAGGGATGAAGCTGGTCTAGATGAATGGGGCCTGGACTCAGGGCTGCCTCTAAGGCTAGACCTCAAGGAGGATGGCAGCCCTGAGAAAACTCAGGGCTCTGGGTTATTCTGAAAGCAGGACAGCAGAGTACTGAACTTGGAGAAAATAAATGGGTTTTCTCAAAGAAATCTCAAGTTCTTCTGAAGGCTTCCCATGGGCCTTAAGTTTCGCTAATGGTGAAACTCCAAGTCATCTTGGCACACACTGCTCCTGGGGGCAGCCTCTCATCTGGCCTAATGGCAATGCCAGCCAAGAGATAGAGATTCCAGGCTTAGGACCACTAGAATCAGCCCTCCCAGAATATCTCACCCTGTATCCCTCCAATTGACCCCAGTTCAGGGTCCCAACCGGGTAGGGTCCCACTGGCATGCACATGGCCCTCTGTGAGTGGGGACTCTCCAGGAGCATGGCCTGGTCTCCTCACCTGCTCGCTAGGCCCACAGAATGGCGCCTTGGGACCCGTGGGGAAAGCTGGCCGGAATTTGTACATGGCAGGTGTCGGAGGGCTGGTCCTCTGCACTGACAGGGCACTCTCTGGGGAAAGGGACCAATGTCAGGCTGGGGCCAGTCCATGTCCCTCCCCCAATTTGGCTGTCCAACCTCACCAGCACTGCCAGGCCGTGGGGTCTTCAGGTCACCTCCAAAGGTGCTGGCCTCTATCTTGGGGGGCAGTGGTGGCCCCAGATCCAGTGGCTTTTCATCCAGCCGGTCCAGACTGCCCTTAGACTGGGAGGGATGGGCTCAGTGGTATGTGGGGCTTGGATAGGGGGTGGGGCTTAACTGAGGATTCCTTCCTGGAGTGGTGGGATCCTTCCCCATAATTCTCCCAATTCCTCCTCCTTCCACCTGCTTACTCTAAGGGTCTGATTCCCATCCCCTCCTCCTTCCCAGCCCAGGCCCCCACCTTGCTGCGGCCCAGTCCTGCCTTCAGCCCATTGTCACTAAGCTTGACCTTGAGCGGTGCAGCTCTCTCCAGGAGTTCAGGCCGAAGGAAGGGTGGCTTCAGGCTCACTGAGAGTGGCAACCGGGGTGATTCCACCATGTACCTGCACCAGGAACAGAGGAATCAGCAGCCAAACAACCTGGCTATGAACACACACCAAAGGCAGGACCAACCCCACCTGGAAAGTGCAGAAAGATACCAGGCTAAGGGTTCAAGGCTGCCCACCCTGCACCCAGCACAAGCTACCTCACCCCCCTGCCCAGGCCGGGCCTCACCGGGGTGCCAAGGGGCTGCATAGCACGTGCTCCACGTTCCCATAGCAGCCTCTGGTGAAGGGGTTCACACCCCCGCGAAACTTCCCAGTCACCTGTGGACACGGGACCCCTTAGCCAGCCTGGCCACCCAGGGTACAGGCCAGGGTAGGCAGAGGGATAGGCAGGGGCAACTGGGGTTCCTCAGAAGTGGTGATTGTGGAAAGCAGCTTGAGCAGTCAGCCCAGGGGTGACCCTCACCCAGGCCATCCCAGCATATCCCTATAGGGAGTTGTAGAATATACAGGCCATCAGATGCTGGTGACTGCAGTGTCCACAGGCATGGGGCATGCAGGGGGACAGGTAGGCACAGCCGTGACCTATCCCCCTGCATTGGTCTCACCTGCGACCCCTCCCACCAAAGTTGCACAAGACACCTCACACAAGGGTTTCCAAGGCCCTGCCCCAGTGAGATCTGCACCTGCTCATTAGTGGTGCGCCCCCGAGTAACCAACACCACGTGGAAACCAGTGAGGCCGATGACAGGAATGAAGAAGAGTCCAGCCACACACATGACAGCCATGCTGACTGGTTAAGGTCAATGGCTGCAGGCAAGGACAGGGTGGACCCCATCAGAGTGGCACTGAGCAGGTACCTGTGTCCAAATACCCTCCTCTGTCCATTTAAGAATAACTCACCCACTGAGTCCCCTAGGCAGCTGATCAACCCCTTTGGTTCTCAATTTCCCCTGTGACACACATCCCTGGCCTACACTGCCTTTGGGAGGGGCACTCAAGGATCAAGGATACGTGATGGTGGTGTGGGCAGCTCCCAACCCCTCGGCATGGTTCAGCACGTAGACCAGGCCAAAGGCCACGACGCCCACCATGTGTGCACTGAGTGACAGCAGGAACAGGAAGAAGTAGCGGTAGTTCCGGCGCCCAATGCAATTGTTGACCCAAGGGCAGTGATGGTCAAAGTCCTAGGCAGAGGCAGTGCATCAGGGCACATAGGGGGGTGAAGATTAGGTGCAAGGCCTGGTTGGGGAAGCACAGAGCAATGGGATAGTCACCTCGACACAGTTGTCACAGACACTGCAATGTGAGCAGCGTGGTGGGCGGTAGAAGTGGCATGTAGCACACCATTTCATGCGGACCTGGATGCCCCGCACATCCACATTCTTGTAAAGTGGGGCCCGGAAGTCGTCCTCTTTGTCTTCGTCCTCGTCCGCTGCAGATCAGGAGATGGACAGAGTGGCAGGGAACAGGAAAGTGACTTCCCTATCAGGAAAGCCCCTGCCCAGCCTATCTATGGGGAACCACTAAGTCCCTCAATTCAGCCCCTCATACTTCACTGAAAATGAGCCCTACCTCGGGGGAAGACACCAGGGTCCATGAAGGTGGCCATGCTGAAATTGGCCAGGACAAAAAGGAAGATGATGCCATTGTAGACAGGAACAGCTGGGGACACGGCTCTCGTCAACCATGGGCACCTGCAATGGAAAGCCAGGAAGAGAGCTAAGTACATAGGGTACAGTATAAAGGCAAAGGGCAGATCCATAAGATGTGGAAATTTGATATGTGCGGGTTGGATCCATCAGGCCACCAGCTGCAGATCTACTGGGAGACCCCTGCCCATCAGCCCTTTGTTCCTTGGCTCAACCACCAGATGCTGTTGTACACCGTGTACAGTGTGTAGTCCTCCCACCATGCCAGTTCCAACCTGGCAACACCCCAGGGTAGCTGTCTGGAGCGTAACTCACAGTTGAGGGAAATGAGGCTCAGAGAAGCCCATTTGACTGGGGTTACATCATTAAGGATGGGTGGCCCAGAGCCAAACTACAAACATCCTTTTACCCCAGGCACAACTTTTCTTGCCTCCCCTTCCCTGGAGGGACACAGAAAGGAAGTGAACACCAAGACAGAAAATAAGACAACACACAGGTGCTATGATGTATAGAGGCCAGTAACCTGCCTGGGTAGCTCCAGTCAGTTCAGGCCTCACCTAAACCTATCCCCAGCCTGGCAGAGACCCCTCGCAAGGAAGACTCTAGAGTAATGAAAACCACAAACATGAGTCATATATGGAGGGACAGTCTCCCTGCTCTTCCCTGAGGGGCACAGCAACCTGTCCCTCACCACTGGCAGCCTCTTCTCAGTTTGTCACCTTGCTCCCCAGATAACAATGCAGAACACTTCGAAACACTTGAAAAGCACAAGGCCTCTACCCCTTCCCACCTCTTACCACCCTGCAGCACTTAGCTCCAAGTCTTTCCGCTCTTCCAAGAAGCCTTCCAGGACACTTGGTTCTCTGCAGCCTTCTTGAAAGGGTTTTGCACATCTCCCTAAAGAGAACCTGCTCCAATCCTCAAGGAGCCTGCCCAGAGTCCCCTCCATGGACACCCACTGGTTCTCAATTCCCCTGACCCTGACCCTGCAGCAAGTTCCTGAGTGCCACCTCTCAGGTCCTAAAAAGCACCTGGACCCTCATATTGTTTTTCTGCGGCTTCCCCTGCACCCAGCTGTTGTGACAAGTGGTCAGGTACACAGGGGATACACACTCCCTTCCCCATTCTGCACTTGAGCCCTTTCTGGAGTCAGGGGCCAGTGGGGATTCCCCCACCGTAGTCCTAACTATAGGGATGTAGCAATGGTGGCTGCCAGCAAGACAAATAGGGCCCACAGTCCTGCCCACCACCCCAGCTCACATCAGCCACGCTAGTGCACCCACGCCTGCCTTGGCCAGGAGCCAGCTCTGCCGCCCCAACAACCACCTCCATAGCAGCAGAACTATTTTTAGTGGAAAGCAAGAGGCTATTTAAAGATTCTGCTTCCCACGGCAGTGTCCTCCACAGGACCAAGAGCTGTCAGTTACCCCCTTCCCTTTCTCCACAGCCAGCATGGACACAGTGTGTGTACATTAATCTGCAGCTGCAAGGGTCTCTCTGCCAGGAAGATCTGTCTCTCACCCCTACCCTGGTGGTCTGGGATGCAGACGCCCGTATACACCTTCTTTTCATATTCCCCATCCCTGCCTGGTATACAGATGGCACTTAACACATGTCTTTGACCACCAACCTAATGCTGTTCAGCAAGGCAACAGTGAGGCCCTAAGGCATGGCCAGCCTGGCATGGTGGAAGGCATATACTCCAACTGATGCCAAATAGGGGAGACACACTGAGAGAACCAGTCCAGCCCAGGGAGAGGTAAGGTACCCCCTTGGATGGCACAAACAAGATCCCTACAGAACTTTCTGGGAAGGGCTAACTACATAATCAGTGTGAAATGAAAATATGGATGCCTTATTAAAAAGTTATTAAGAAATAAAAACAACACTAGGCATGGTGGTGCATGCCTGAAATCCCAGAGACTTGAAAGGCTGAGGCAGGAAGATTGAAAGTTTGAGATCAGCTGGGGCAACGTAGTGAGAATCTAGCTTAAAAATAAAAAAGGGATAGAGATGTGGCTCAGTGGTAGAACACCCTTAGGTTCAATCCCTAGTACCAACAACAACAAAAATCAAGACAGTGATAATATGTCATTAAGCATGTGGAGTTGGCCTGCGCTGGAAAAGGAAGAGACCAAAGAGTCCAGGGGCTGGCTGAAGATGAGGTAGATGGATGAATAGATGTAGGGGAGAGGCAGCAGGCAGGTCTCCAGGGTGGAAGGACACATGAAGAGGCCAGTCATGGGCTCTGTCTTTGTATCCATGGCTTCCCATCCTGTATGGTACATCCCCATTCTCTCAACTGTGAGGAAGGGGAAAGCTGCTGTCCTCACATTTTATAGACAAGGACCTGAGGATCTGAGGCCTTGGGACCAGTGTGCATTTGAGCTGGGTTTTCAACCTGTTCCTTGGCCCTAATTGGAACTGGTCTTGGGAGTGCCCTCACCCCTGGTGTAGGCAGGACCTGAACCCCTCAGCTGTCCAGAGTTCCCTGCTGGCCAGGTAGTCTATACTACTAGAACTTCCTTGAGCCTCAATTTCTTCCCCTCAAGGCAGGTGGGCTAGACAGCTGACTTGAGTAAGATTCCCTAGGAGGAAGGGGTGTGGACAGCAGCTGTGCAATGATAGGGTCACGTTTGGAAATTTGTGCTCTTAATAGGGCAGTGCTTGCACTGAGATGCTGGGTAGCCTCTGTCCAGTGTGCACCACCTGGCCAAATGTCTGGGAGGGCCAGTGGGGGGCCTTAGCTGAGTATCAGAAAGGACTGAAGAGACACACAAGTTCTCTGAGACCTAAGCCACCATTCTCTTATTATCTCCAGCCCCTTGGCTTAACTCAGGCCCAGGACCAGGCACTTGTCCCCCCTGTCGCCCTCTAGGTGTTATTGCAGGGACCCATGAACCTAGACCCCACTTAAGGGGGACAGGCCCACTAGCTAACCCATCATGGCCCTGGCAGATCCCAGAACTTAGGAAGCATGCATGCTAAGTGGTGGAGGAGACAAAGAGAATACACAGACACATACACACACTTGAACACACATGTAGACACACATACATGTGTCACACACAAACATGCTCCAAAGTACACATGCACAAACACAAATATACAGGCCCATAATCACAGACAACCACTCTTTTACCAAAAAAAAAAAGCACATATGCATGAACACATACAAATATATCCACAAGCAAGACACACGTATATGCAAGAACATACACATGCACAGGCACACACACTTGTGTGCAGGTGAATGAATGCAAAAATGCCAGCAGAGGTCACATTCAATAATAGAGGCCTAAGCATATGCATATGCACACATGAACACACACATGCAAAGACACACCCCTCCTCCCCCTATACCCAGCTCTGTCCAACCTCAGCTCAGTAGCCCCTTGTTGTAGGCCTCAGGCAAATCCCTCTGCCTCTCTGGGCTTTCCATTGTTCCCCTGTGGGACAGGGCAAATGTGAATACACATGAGGACACTCAAGGACATGCAAAGATGTGTGAAGACACAGGAAGACATACAAGAACATGCAAGGATACACAAAGACACAGGAGGAAACAAGAGGACATGTGAGCTCTCCTGGGCAACAATGTTCAAACCATATTTGTGCCAGCACTAAGCTTGAGAGGATCCTCTGCCCCCGGGGATATTCCCCCTCATGTGTACCATGCTGATCCTTCTATACCTGGCTCCAAAGACCCCAGCTGGATTCACCCTCTTCCCCTGCAGGACATAACCCAAGACCTGAGTTTGCAGGAGGGTCAGAAAGAGACAGGCAGGTCACAGGCCCCTGGGCCATGGGCAGAGCATTTAGCCTTTCATGAATCCTGCCTACAACTTCCCTATGACCCCCTTCTGGTTGACTCAAGCCATGCTGTGGACCAAATGGAGGACCAGGACAGGGCCTAGCTCTGAGGTTCCAAGCACTCCTCCAGTTCCAACCCTACCTCCTGAATAGCAGGGACATAAGCCAGGACACAAGTCATTACAGTGTGCCCCACCAGGGTGGAGGTCTTAAGTCCTGCCTAGGCTAGCAGAGTCTCCCTGTAAAGGGGGATGGGGAACTTTACAGGCAGAATGTCTGCCACAGCTAAATGTAGAATGGAAATTTTTAACTCAGACATTTTCTTTTATATCAGGTTCTTCATTAACAGTTTGCATTTGAGAGTGGTACTGGCCCATGGAATGCCAGGACTCCAGTCTGCCCTGGTCATTCCAAGCAGGGCCTCTGGATCATGAAGCATCTATACCTACCAGTCTGATCCCTATAGTCACCTGGACAGATGGAGAAACAGGCTCAGGAGGGCAGGGAAGTCCCTGGTGACATGCATCATGTCCTGGCAGGGGAGTTCACACTGAGTTTCCACCCTCAGGCTCTTCCCCACAAGGCACAATCAGCCCTTCTTCTACCGAGCTCCTTAACCCTCAGGCCTAGACCATCTGCTATCTTGGACTAAGCCTCCAACATGGAGAGGGCTCAGGCCCAGCCACACCAACTCAGATGCCTCAGAGATAAGACCGCCCAGCCCTAGTCCTCTGACATGCATAGTGTCCTGTCATTCTGCAAAGTGACTCTGGGGAGAGGCAGAACAGAGGCAGAGCAGAGGACTGCCCTGAAAGCTTTTGGACCCCTCCAAGTACCTGACCCAGCCTAGTGTTGCACTATAGTAAGAAGTCCTTTGGAGCCCAGAGGACACAAACCCCACCTGGAGGGCTCTAAGAATCTGCCATACAACATACACTCCAACCTCAAAATATGTACACTCTCAATCGGGCATCCTTCCCACACCTCAGCCTCTCCTGGAAAGATGTCTGAATGTCCTACTGGCCCCACAGCCTTTGGTGAGCTGGCTGAAGGAAGGGATCTCTAGTCCTCCAGGCCTCAGACCCCTGATCTTGCATGATACCAGAAACATGGCCCACTTGGTATGGAAATAGAATCTACCCTGAAAGGGGCAACTCACATTACTGAGTGCAGAGAGGAGATCTGGGGTCCATTCACCATCTGGTAAAGTCCAAGGAGCAAAAAAGAAAATAGAAACCCTATATAGATCCTGAGAGCAGGGTAGGGAACCATTCCCTCACTGAAGCCAAAGTGGGCCCAGGCATGAGGAAGCCACTGGACATGAGGAAGCCACAAAGGAGGCACTGAAGCCTATTCCAAGGACACCCACTCAGCATGGCCACCAGACCTACCTAGTATTCCATCTAATCAGAATTGTCATGGCCTACCCTACAAAGACCCCTTCTCAAAAACTGAGCCACCTAGTGGATTCCAGAAGAGCTAGGGTGGGGCAAGTTAAAGTCCCAATTTAGCCCAGGAAATATGGCCTCAAGGTTGCCAAGGGACAGGTGAAGCCATTGGGTCTCACTAGATGGTTCCTACAAATGGGACCCAATACCACCACTGAGTCTCCATCCTGCCACTGAGACACATATTGCATGTTCTCCCAGACTAGCTGAGTTCAGCGTGGGCCACACACAGATTGGAGTGCTACCTCCAAAGGGAACCCGATACCTCAAAAGCACCATTGTCCATGACCCTAGAACTCCAGCATTGAGAAAGGAGGAAGGAAGTACTAGCAGCATGCAGAATGGCAGCAGCCTCAGCGCTCAAGGCCTATGCTGGGTCAATTCACAGGAAAGAGCACATAACAGACTCTGAAATCACAGGTGAGTGACTCACAAGCACTCCTATTGCATGGCCTGGGTGCCATAGAGGTGAGGCCAGGGCACAGAGAAGCTCTCTGAGGATGAGGAGATGGGTGGTCTCCATGAGCTGGAGGATGAATTTTAACTTCTTTAAAACTTTTTTCCCCCTGCGTTTCGTAAGTTCTCCATAGAGAACCTTAAGTTATAAGAAAAGACATTGGATTGCACTTGGGTAATAAGACTTGAGACAGACACACCACCCCAGTCCCTGGGAGGCCAAGACCAAGCTGAGATCCATGCTCCCAGAAGCCCCAGGGAATGGGTCCCCAAGCTCACCCACCACCCACCTCTCTCTGCCCCATAGTCAGCAGCATCAGAGTGAGAAGAACACCCTGACTCTCCAGAGCCAGAAATAAGCCCGTCCACACAGGCCTTTTTTAAACACATTCTTGGCAGTCTGCAGCCCCAGCCTCCAGGTAAGTACTCTCCCGCCTCCTCAAGCACCCAATTCAGACTCGCCATGCACATGGGCTGCCACTCCAGCTCTTACAAAGGTGAAAGAGCAGTAGGTTGACTCCTGCCCATCCCAGGCTCACTCACACTCAGAAGCCATCACTCTGCCCACCTGGGCTTGGACTTGTGGAAAGGGTCCGCAGCAATCCCTCTTCATGCCTGAAAGATCCCTAGGGTGACCCCAGGACAACAGAGGGGGGTCATCAGATCACTCCAGGCTGTAAGCCAGCATGTCTGAGGTGAAGAAGTTGAAACTGGAGCTACCTGAGGCCCTGTGAGCAAGGGGATTCTGTCTCTATAACTAGAGGCTTAGCCTCAAAGGTCTTAGTGTCCCCTATGAGAAGCCCATAGCAGAGCTATTTAAACATCTATCTCTGAGTGCAGCCCAGCCTAGCCTCTCAAACACAAATGGCCACTGAGAGCTTCCAAAGAGGAAGGCCAACAGAGGGCAAAGGACCCCACCAGGCCAGGGTCATCAGCAGCTATGGGGTAAGCATGTGGCAGCTAGACCGGGCCACACCTACGCGGGAATAACTTGGCTCTGGCCTGGGGTGGCATTCTGGAGGGGACCCAAGAAGCACCCACGGCTGCTTGCAAGGAAGGCTAGTAATTCTGGGCAGCCCGCATCCCCTCCTGAGCTTTGTGAAAGGGAAAGGCTGCTGCCACACCCAGGGCCTGCCTGACACAACTCTGAGATGCCCAGTTAGTACCACTGTCCTCACACACATGTGGCTCACCTGTTCCAGAACGCGCGGCATTCCGGGATGCGGTCCCTTATGCCAGGGTGGGGGCTCGCCTTGCTCACAGCCCGCGCCCCGCCCAGCCCGTCTGATTCCAGCCCCCTGCCCGGCCCAGCTACCCAGCCCGGTAGCTGCCTCTGTATTCCTAAGAATCTATGTCAGGCCTGACTGCCACCCGGGCACACGGACGCAATGCCAACTCACGTGAACACGAAGAAGAGGGTGCTGGAGCCGACCAACAGCGCGGCGGCCGTGGCCACCGGGATG